AGATTATAGCGAATCAATTGTTAGGGCTGCTACTAGGAAATTGGTTCGCCATGTCACGTGAGACAATTTCTCTCGCCATACATATTTATCAGTCTACCATTCGCCCATACATTGAATATTGTTGTCACATCTTGTCTGGTGCTCCTGCTATATATATAGAGATAAAATTCAAATAATCTGAAATGTTATCGGTCTTGACCTGGCATCTCGGTTTCAGTCACTGTTCCATCGCCGTAATATATTGTACCGTTTTTATAAATACGTTCATGGTAACTGTTCTGATTAGATTTTCTCTATGGTACCTTGACTTTACGAATTGCTTGATTGGTAGCTAGGTTTCATCACTTTACAGTTGAAATAGCAAGATGCAACCTTAAGTTCTATGCTAACATTTTCTTCTCTCACACTGGTTTCCGGCCTCTTGTTTTCCAGTCAAGATAGTCAAAAATGAAAATACAATGACAATCGTTATCTTTTGTCTAAGATGACAAATCTCTGTTCTTTTCTTGTTCCCTAACCTTAAGATTTTTAATCGATTTCCCTCCAAGCAATGGCAATTGTTATCTTTTATCTATGAAAACAAATCTCTTGTTCCCTCACCTTAAGATTAAGTATTAGAAATCAGAAACTTTACTAAGAAGTAAGAACAAAAGAAGTGTAATGAAGAGGACAGTAGAATTCTGTTAACATTGCATTTAAATTTTTGAAGATTAAAGTTGGTTCGAAAGCATGGAGTCAGAAGACAGTTCCACAAGCGGTAATTGCGAGAAAAGACGTTATTAGCATAAAACTTACATCTAGCCAACACAACTGCATATTGGTGAGATCTCATCCCCAGTCTACTATTGCGCTTAAGCTCATAAAGTCTAGGTACTTTGGCGAAAAGCGATATTTATTCTGTTTAATACAGAAATGTGGCACAAGGCCGAAAAGGGGATTGGGGAAAGGACGGTCTTCTGTCTTAACTATAACTTAGCTAGCCTCAAACACTGACCCAATCTTACGAAACAATATTCCTTACACCAAAACAACACATTCATACGTACCTTTCTTACTACAACCACCATAATACCTCTTTGTCTCTATGAAAATACTAACTAGTCCCCATATTTACAATTCGTTGTCTGTGGGGGGAAGGGAATAAAACAACAATTCTAAAAGTTAACCCCAGTGAGTATTTACAATATGCATACAATATGCATATGCGTACCTTGGCGAAAAGCTCACCCGAACAATTGCCATGGAAGTATTTATTTAAAAAATGGCACAGGAAGGCAAAGTTATGGCAGTGGGAAAGAGACTGAAGCCGAGATGCCAGGTCAAAACTGTACGAAAGAGGAAAGCTTATCAGAACAATTACCATGAAAAGCATTTATAGAAAAGGCACAGGGAGGCAAGTTTACAGCAGTAGGAAAGTGACTGCAAATGACCTAATCTGTGGGAGAAAAAAACAGAAGTAGATTACATTCTGTTACTCCAGTGAATCTAAAACTGATCATATGATGAAAAAAAGAAACAAAGCGGTTGTTTCAATTAATTTTCACAAGGGTGTACCTTCTATCAACGGCTTATCAGAAAAGATGCAGCATGAGGACAATATTTAGAAACAGCTCCAACTCTGTGGAGAAATCATAATCAAGCATAACACGCGAGGGAACATGACCAAGAACTGTATGTACTTCATTCTTTGAAGTTGTGGCCAAGAATATACAGGTGAAACAAGCGTGCCCGTAAAGGTAACGCTGGATGGATATCGAAAATCCGTGGTGAGTGGAGGGACAATGAAATCAGGCATGGCTGATCATATATGGAAGGAAAACGGTACCCATCAACTCCCTTGGAATGAAGTGAAAATACTGGACAAGGAAGAACACAGGAGAATTAGATGGCTGAAAGAATCAGCGCATATTCTATGTGCCTCCTTAGGCTTAGTATAGAAATAAATACATTATGGGAGCCGCTAATAAAATAAGAAAAACAAATGACAGCAGTCAAGCCTGACAAGAAACAGAAGCACTAATGGGTAGGCAGGTTAAGTTTAAGACTTTAAGAATTCCGCACTGAATAGTTCTGGGCAATGTATACCTTGATTCAGTGGAATCAGTGCAAGCAATAGCAGTATTAAAAATAGGAACTATGAGAGATATCCCTAAACATGGACAATTTACCTCTGTATATTAAATAAAGGGTTAAGTTAAAAGAATTCCTTGTGGTTACTGGGATTGATATACACCTGATGAAGGCTGGACGGCACGGTACGGCTGTCGAAATGTTGTCATAACAGCAACAAAGATAAGGCAATAGTTTGTATGTAAATAAGTGTCTTTTTAGTTTCTATTTTCCTTAAAACTTTCTCGTTACTCAAATGTTCAGTCCATGGTATTCTCAACATAGAAGCACATTTCAATTGGCTCCAGCCTCTTCTTCATTTGTGAGGAGACTATCATTCACTGACATATATGAGGTCCGATATTACATAACAGTCCAGCACTCTTTGCTTTGTTTCTAACGAAATTTTCCCGATTGTGCATTTTTGGATTTCGGTGTTATATTTTCTATCCTCTATTAAAACGCTTCCCAGATATTTACATTTTCATACTTGCTTCATCTGGAGTTCCTATCTTGGAACGTTCCCCTTCCTGACAACTGGACATTGTGTCTTTTTTAATAGTTAGTCCTTTCTTCTCATTTTCCTTTACAAGCTTCTGAAGGAATCCCTGCTTTATCTTTTCTGTATCTTGTGTTTTAGATTAAGCAGTCGACTTTTATTTTCTTTTTCTTTCTTTCTTACTCACGCTTCTTTTTATTTTTCTATTTTTATTTTAATATAATTTCTTAATTTTAATATTGTTCTTTTCTTTCTTTCTTTCTTTCTTTCTTTCTTTCTTTCATTCTTTTTTCTTTCTTTTTTTATTTCATTCTTTCTTTCTTTCTTTCCCTCCTACTTTCATTTTTACCGTAATTTGTCTGCATTGGTTTACATAATTAGGTTGTCTGCAATTGTAGTTTGCAGGAAGCAACCGATATTTCTTTTCCTTCTATATTTCTTTTATTTATTTCGTTCTTTCCTGTTTTTTTTTTTCTTTACTATATTTTTTTTTATATATTTGTCCCGTTTTCGTTCCATCTTTTTCCGGTTTCTTTCATGTTTGCTTTAATTCTCTTTCTCTCTCTTCCACTCTCATTCACACACGTATTTACACACAACTCTTTCCGTTTTTATATTTCTTCTATCTTTTTCCTTTTAATGTGATTTCTTTTCTTTTTTATTAATTTTTTTCTTCTTTCTTCTTTTTTTCCTGTAATTTGCCAGAATTGTTTAATTACGTTACCTGATGTCGCATTTGGGAGGAAGCAGACGATATTTTCTTTACTTCTTTATTTCTTTCTTTTATTCTTTCTTTTCAACTCTATTTTTTTTTTTTTTTGCCCCATTTACCTTTAATTTTCTTTTCTTTCTTATATATTTGCTTTTTCCACCCTCTCTCACTCGCTCTATCTCTCTTTCTCTTTACATTCTTCTATCTTTTTCTCTTGAAATATAATTTCGTATCTTTTATTACTGCTTTTAACATTCTTTCTTTCTTTATTTCCACTTGTACTTTCTTTACGCTGTTCTATGTTGTATTTCGATAGAAGCAAACGATTTTGTCTCTAATTCTCTCTCTTTCTCTCTCTCTCTTTCTCGTTTCCTAGTTTTATTTTGTTGCTTGTCCCCTTCCTTCCTACGTATTGTAATATAAAGTTCAGCTTTAAAGGAACCAGCTGATTCACGAGTCAGCACCTCTACATTGAACTAAAATAGGTAGGTTCAGGTCTAATCTCCAATGCCCGTGACATATCAGAAGGCAAGTGTCAAGAGGAAGAAATGTCTGACCAACTGAATGATGAGTAAATTTGTCCGCTCCAAAATATGTTTGAGTAAATGCACCGTTTTTCTTCAATTTTATTTCTTTCTTCTTTTCTTTTGCTATTCACTCCCTCTCTCTAACTCTGTTACTATCTCCCTCTCTCTAACACTGTTACTCTCAATCTCTCTCTCTTCTCTATTTTCTTTTTTTTTTCCCCATCTCGCTTTCGATATAGCTTACCGAATATTTGCTGTACATCCTTGAGGGCGAAGGTTAGCTTTTTCGTAGGCCTAACCCCAGAGGTAGGTTATCTATGCCAGGTAGTAAACTGAATTTCTGTATATTATGCGAAACTTAATTCAGGAAACAAACTGTGCCCTTGATGTCGGCAAATACGGTATGTTTCTGTCGAAATTTTTAAGACTAGAACTTATATACATATATGTTTACCTTCGGATTAATTCCCTCATCTTTGTTTTTGTTATCACAATGTTTTGGCTGTTGTGCTCTCCGGCTTAAAAATCCGAGTAAGCTTCAGATAATTTAGAACTAAACCCATGGAGGTAGATTGTCCTTGTTCTACTATTCATGTCTAGAGAAAATCTTATTTTGTTCTTGACTGGATATATATAATTCACTGTGATTTTGGGCTATTTGCAAAACAGGATAAAACCCTTAAAGAACAAAGGCTTGATGCAATCCCACCAAATCGTGACTACGTTAGAGAAACTTATCCCGGAATATGAGTTCGAAGCATGTTTCCAACAAAGAAGAACACAGATTCAAGAAGGGAATATTCTAAAAGTTGACAACAGCCAAGAGAAACCAGGTAATGGATCTTTACTTTCAATTAGCCCTTCCTGGAATTAAATTTTCTCATCTCGTCCGGTTTCGTAATTTTAGCGGAGATTCTGAGTTCTCCTATTGCTCTCATCAAAACTTATTTAAGTACAACATTTCTTCTGAATTTTGAATGATGTTAATGATTGCTAACTACCCGGCTTCACGTGGACATCATTTGAAATTCACCCTAAGCAGCTATTAGGCTCTATTTACAAAACTGTATCGGCTTCATAAAGATATCCTGTGGTGGTTTTTCAATTCGTTTTAATTAAACCCGTGTTACTGGTTTTGTTTCCAATTGTATTTTTATTTGTTTTGAAGACAGTAATGACGGCGAGGTAGAGAGAGAGAGAGAAAAAATGGCTGACGTAAAGGAATTGTAAAATACATGAAGGACGAATCATAGCAGGAATGAAGATGAAAGAGAGTGTCAATAAAGAAAGGATTCCTATAGAAAAAGAAAGAAAGAATTGCAAGACAAAGATCATTGAAATAGGGAGACATGAAAGAAGGAGAGAAAAGAAAAGAGGTGATAAAAGACTTGAAATAAGCTGACCGAAAAATGGAGAACGAAAATGTAAAACGCTGAAAGAAGCTCCAAAAACTAGGAAATTAAAACATGGCGGGAAAAGTAGCGTAATTCAAGTGGAAAAGCGAATTATAGTGGAAACTCGAAAGAGGAAAAGATAAGATAAAGAGAGAATGAAAAATTGGAAAAAAAAAGTAGGTGGATTTATAAGGGGAGATTGCAAGAAAGTGGTGGGGGTGTAGAAAAGGAAAAATGCAAAGAAAACTAAGAGGAAATTGCTTTAGAACAATGAGTATGCGACAATGAGTAAGATAGAAGAAATTAAAAGGAAAATAGAGACAGAGAGATGACAACATTTGTGGAGGAAGAAGTGTAAGATATAAAGACTGTAGTATCTTAACAGACTAACAATGAGGAGACTGTGAGTAGAAGGTAAAGGAGAACTGAGCAAACAGAGGATGAGAATAAAGAGAGAGAGAGAGAGAAAAAAAAACGTAAAAAAAAAGAGCGAGTAAGTGAAGAAAAATGAGAGTAAGAGAAAGCTTAATAAAAGTAAAGAGGCGGAAAGAAAGATGGCGCCTTGCCGAAAACAGGCTAATGTTTGGTTTGTTGAAATCGTTCTTAGCAAGAAGGCAATAGAACATTGGAAATAATTTAAAGAATGATGTTCTGCCGCGTCCGAAACAATGGCTTGTATCCTAAAGATATGACCGCTTTCTAATTAAACTAATTTTAAAATAAAATGATTAGGAGATGAATAATATAAAAGGACTCGAAGTGTTTAATAAACTGGGATATTCAACCATACAAAAAATATATGAAAAGGACAAACACCGAAGTTTTCTGGGAAATAAAGAAAATAGAAATAATCAATAATTAAGTATTATTTTGTTGTTGTTTTTTATTGTTTTTAAAGAGCTGGGGTTTAATCGAAACAAAGTTTGGGAGTTACGCTGAGGGCAGAAAAAGTTGATTGGTTTCCAATAATTTAAAGACAATCACTGACTTCTTTTACGCGCCGTGTCCTTTAAGATCGTGGATGATCATGGATCTCCACAACGTTTTTGCTTTTCTTACTATAAGTAACATTTGAGGCTTACGGTCATATCATGTTGAATACACCGCCCCGCCCTCGATCAACGAAATTAAGCAACGTCGAGCCTAGTCATTATTTAGATGGGAGACAGCTTCGGGGTACCAGAAGCCGTAAGAGGTGATGCATGGGTTCTTGTAGTGAATGTGGTCAGTATTTGGATGGGAGAAGGCTTCAGGATAATAGATGCCGTAAGCTTAATAGGAGAGACGGAGCACTTTAGCCTGGGAGAGCAGTTCATCTAAGAGAAAGGAAACTCTCATTTCAGACCTCCGCTCCCAATTATATTAAACCCTGAGGGTTAAATCCGTGCTCCAGAATAGCTGAGAAGACTGAACCCTCTAGCACTGGTTGGCAACCAGTCTAGAAGAGTAACGCTAAAATCAAAGACTACGACGGCTGAAACCGACACGCTGGCCAGCCTGCGACAATAATGGCTAAAACGACAAAAGCATCGTGGCCAGCAGAGCCGAATCGGTAAGAGTTTGGTAGGTTATAGTGAAGTAAAGTTTTACCCTTTATCTTTGGAATCCGTTCGCACAAACTCTTTAAGTTACTCGCTATTTCTTTTGCCTTCAATACACCATTGTGTAAACTAATTGAAACAACCGCTTTAGTTTCCTTTCTTTCACCATACGGTCAGATTTAGGCCCACAGGAGTGACAGGATGCAATCGATTGCTATTTTTCCTCAGATTACGTCATTTGCAGTGGTGTGCAGTAATATGAATCTATTTATTGTATAGTTTCTGTGATGTACTCCTAATGTATTTACAAAAGCATTATATACACCCTTGTTCAAATTAATTGAAACAACCGCTTTAGTTTTCTTTCTTTCAGCATAGAGTCAATTTTAGATCCACTGGAGTGACAGAGTGTAATCGATTTCTATTTTTTCCTCAGATTACGTCATTTGCAGTGATGTGCAGTAATATGAATCGATTTTCGGCGTGTATGATCAAATTAATTTGGTCTTAAAAATAATGTGCCATCCGTGATTGAATTAGATTATTATCACGCCCAGATACTATTATCTCGACTGTCGATTAGTTGTCCTACGGCCGTTGTCTGCGATGGACGTTACTCCAAGGAAGCGACCGAAACTTTCAACGCTGCACGAACACACTGGCAAGCGTTACCAGTGAGCAAAATAAAATTCTAGATTACCAGGACCTGGCAGCTGATATCACCTCTAACATCTCAATGAGTAAAGTGGGGGACGGCTGGTCACATTCAATAACTCCAAAATCAAACAAATAACGTTCCATTATCATCAAACAGAGTCTGACATTTCGTCTATCGCAATAAACGGGTGTTCTCTCAAGAAGGCCACTTTGCCTAGAACGGCCAAGCTCACACAGGACTCGTATATACGTTCCATCGCTAAAGATGCTTGAAAAATGGTCGTTTTCCTGTACCTACCCAGTAGGTACTGATTCCTCCAGCTATGCTTCACCTTTATAAGAGTGTTATATAGGAATAAAGTGTCGCTGCCGACACTTGACTTTGAACATAGATCGCCAGTGAATAAACACAGGCGATCCCATTATTGAATTAACTGGATCACGTGACCATGAGAGAAACACATATACTGGAATCCGCGTGACGTCTAAATGATCCCCATTCTTGTCTACCCTCTATTACTATGCGGATTGCTATATTCAAGTCTATCCTCTATACTTTTCGGAACTCCATTCTAGTCTATCCTGCGTTACTATTCGTATCAACTTTTCTAGTCTATCCTCTATTACTATACGGTTTTGTCATTTCTAGTCTATCCTCTATTACTATACGGATCACCATTTCTACTCTATCCTCTATTACTATACGGATCACCATTTCTAGTCTATCCTCTATTACTAGACGGATCGTTATTTCTAGTCTATCCTCTATTACTATACGAATCGTTATTTCTAGTCTATCCTCTATTACTATACGGATCACCATTTCTAGTCTATCCTCTATTACTATACGGATCGACATTTCAAGTCTATCCTCTATTACTATACGAATCGTTATTTCTAGTCTATCCTCTATTACTATACGGATCACCATTTCTACTCTATCCTCTATTACTATACGGATCACCATTTCTAGTCTATATTACTAGACGGATCGTTATTTCTAGTCTATCCTCTATTACTATACGAATCGTTATTTCTAGTCTATCCTCTATTACTATACGAATCGTTATTTCTAGTCTATCCTCTATTACTATACGGATCACCATTTCTACTCTATCCTCTATTACTATACGGATCACCATTTCTAGTCTATCCTCTATTACTAGACGGATCGTTATTTCTAGTCTATCCTCTATTACTATACGGATCACCATTTCTACTCTATCCTCTATTACTATACGGATCACTATTTCTAGTCTATTCTCTATTACTAGACGGATCGTTATTTCTAGTCTATCCTCTATTACTAGACGGATCGTTATTTCTAGTCTATCCTCTATTACTATACGGATCACCATTTCTAGTCTATCCTCTATTACTATACGGATCGACATTTCTAGTCTATCCTCTATTACTATACGGATCACCATTTCTATTCTATTCTCTATTACTATACGGATCACCATTTCTAGTCTATCTATTACTATACGGATCGTTATTTCTAGTCTATCCTCTATTACTATACGGATCACCATTTCTACTCTATCCTCTATTACTATACGGATCACCATTTCTATTCTGTCCTCTATTACTATACGGATCACCATTTCTAGTCTATCCTCTATTACTATGCGGTTCGCGATTCGAAGGCGTCTGACGCCAGTATTGTTCAACGTCGTACTATAGTGGTATCTGCGATTATAAAGTCTCTACTACAACGAGCATTACGAAAATGACAACGTGTATTCCTTGAAATTACAAAAGTGGGAACGAATGTTCGTTGACATCACAAAGAAGAGACAGGTAACGCCGAAAATGGAATACTGCTGTCATATCTGGGCTGGAAGTGCCCAGTCTTCACTCTCCTGTTTTGACAGAGTCCAGAGAGAATCTTCAGATGAGGTTCATTACTTAGTTCCACAATCTCAACCCCTTTAGAGCTGAGACCCGCCACTCCGTTTACACTGAGACGAACTACCCTCATTCCCTTTGTATTCCATTAGTGAGATGTAAGTACCACTCGAAAAGCTTTCTCCAACAAACCACTACATTATGTAACAGACTTCCACGGGCACGCTTTTCCGACCGTTACAATTTTAACAGGTTCAAATCTAGGGTTAACTGCAATCTTTCCCATATAAACTGCGCCTCATACCGCTTACCCTTATGCAAGAAACTTTTTTAATAACTCTCTATCTTGAGTGGCTCTTGGGCCTTGTATAAGGTGAACATTAGAAAAAAGTTACTACCAAGAATTATTTTCTTCTTCTTTGTACCGTGTCCTTTCAGGACATGCGCGATTATGGCTCTCCACAACTTCCTATCCCGTTTAGTTATTAGCAACGTTTATCCCTTTATGAAGCCTGCCGCTTATCAGTCCACCATCTATTTACACAAGCTCATCAGGTAAGTGTCCAGCTGACCCCTATCCCTCTTGCTCTCGATATGCCGTGTAAATGTCAAATTCTTCAAGCCCTCTTTCCTCTTTCCAAGAAATTTCAAATGTTCCTTTCTGATTATAACTATAAATTACCTATTTTTTTCATTTTCATAAGATTTCTTTGTTGTTTACGCGACCTGTCGATTGAATCCTCAACATCCTTCTGTAGATCTACATTTCTGTTGTCTCCAGATTTTTCTTCATCTCCGAGGAAACTGTCGAGCATTCATTGTCATACAAGAGGATTAATATCGAATAACTGTTCAGCACCCTGAACATTTTAAAATGAAACACATTTTAAATTTCATCACTTCTGGCAAACCTGTTGGGATATTACTTTAATTGGATTGGTTTGGTTTATTTTGTTTTACGGCATATCAACCTCAATGGGTTATTTAATGCTGACAAAATTTTTTATTCCTGGTAATATTTTGTTTCGTCAAAAATCTGTTTCTGGTAATAATTTTTCTTCAAAATTGTATTGCTGGTAATAATTTTTTCAAAAAAGTATTACTAGTAATAGTTAACTATTTGCCCATAGTTGGGACCCTAGCAAGTGCTACCACCCCTGGTCAGGCTGGACCTGGGAACACCAGCAATTAAGAGGTGGTTCCACGCTCCTCAAAACCTCCTGATCAGAGGCCTTGCTGCTGGATGTATATCGTCTTACCCAGGACGCGGATGTAGTTTAACGTCTTACTCAGGACAAGGATATTACTTTGAAAAAATTGTGAATTTTAAGCTTTTAACAGTTTAGGAGAGATGAAAAAATGACAAACATTATTGAGCTACAAAAGACAGGAAATTGTGGAGAGCCGTGATCAGCAACGCTATGAAGGGATACGGTACACAAAAGAAGAAAAATTACTTGTCCGCTTTTCATATGAAACAAAACATCTCTTTTAGCACTACCAAACCCAAGGCGTGAACTCAAAACTACCAGGCAATATAATGTTTTAAACAACACACGCTATTGATTCTGTGTTGTGGTGTAATATATATCGGAATGAGAAATCATTAAAGCTGAGGTCGAATTCCAGTCGAGTTCGTTACACTCACGTATAAATACCCTCGGAAAAGTTATGAATTTATCTCTTCTTAGCTATGGGTTAAATAGTAGAACTTATATCTGGAAAATTATCATTGATATCTCCAAAAAATTGTTAATGAAAAATATTATTCTTACAATCCCCAAAATGTGTTTCGGCTTTAAATAACCCACTAAGGGTTGATAAACAGTAAAAACAAAAAAAAAATCAATCAATTCAGAATGTGGCCGATCATGGTTCTCCACAACATTCTACCCTTTGGAGCAGTCCATCTAAGAGAAAGGAAACTCTTATTTCAGACCTCCGCTCCCAATTATAGTAAACCTTGATGCTTAAATCCGTGCCCCTGAATAGCCGAGAAGACTGAACCCTCGCCTTATTAAAACTGATTATATTTCCTAACACCCGCCCTTGTGCAAAATACTGTTGCCACTTTTTTTTAGTCTAACTAAAAGTACTGCCTGAAACATTTGGCGACCACGACGTGATATGGTTGAACCTACTGCAACAAATTTAACACGACACAAGGACAAACGTGTACTCTAGTCCAGTGGGCGCCAACCGGTGGTCCACGGACGGCTGGTAGTCCGTGCAAAATTTTTGATGGTCCGCAGGAAAATTGGGACATGATTTCAATTTTTATGAACCTTCAGATTAAAAAATGACGATTAACAAAACGTATTATGGATGGTATATATATATTCAAGACGTTACGTAATCTCGAAATAAGCACTAGTACACAAGTTCACAAATTTGACATTATCCAACAAACCTAACATAACTTGCAAAGTCATGTTCAATACTTGTTACTGAATAGTTTCTTACCATGACTGGTGATAACTAGTCATTGGATGGTTTGCTAGTATAATTTTCTACAAACATGGCATATTTTCAAGAATCGGCTTACGCATCAGATACAAATTCATAAGCATTCATACTCGAAAACTATTTTTGCAAAATTTTTTTTAAAAGAAACAAATTTTTAGCGGATTTGAATAATGTTCAAATTTTCAATTTGTTTTATTTAAATAATTACAATATAATAATCGGAAACTTTTTATTTTATTTATATGAAATGCACCCATTAAAGATAACATATTAATAAAATAAAATTTTTCCGATTATCATTATATAAATGTATTTACCATTTTTTCTAAATTCAAATTAGTGTTCCGCCAAATTTAAAATTATACATTTCGTGATCCATGAAGTTCAACAGGTTGGCGACCGCTGCTCTAGTTAATAGTATTGTGGTACTAATTCACAAACTAGTGTCCTACAGTGAGATCTTTTAGTGTATTAATTATTAGGAAGTGTTTTAATGTATTATTTATTAGAGAAATTCAAAGAAAGCGTAGATTGGGAAGTTTTATTCAGTTTCTTTGGCATTACAAATATGTACTGTACTACTGTACTGATGCGGCATTCACCCTGGGCGGATTGAGCCGGCTTCTTCCTGTTATGAGAAGAAGATTCTTGGGATAAATTAAAGAAGTAGGGTACCCAGGAACGATCAGAAGCCGCCGGTTACCGATGCAGACGCTCCTTGGATTTTCACCAGAGCCCTTGTTAGCCGGCGTGTGTGTCAGACCTGTCCGCCTTGGGTGGCCCTACCAGGAACGAAGTTCCGGGCGGCATAGCTCTGACACTACCGTTTACACCCCCCACCGACTGTGATGTAAGGGTTGGACTTTGGGGGCTTACAGTACCAGGTGTTCCCCATCTAAGTACTGACCTGGCTCTACGATGCTTAACTTCGGTGATCGAACGAGAACCGGTGTTTTCAGCGTGATTTGACCGTAAGCAAATTACAAATATGGCACCAGACTGACTCCTTTTATATTGATGAAAGAGTTACATAAGGGGAGATAATCAAAAAGATATTTTATTACCTCAAAGGATTAATATTTGAAAAGATCCTGACACTATATTTCCGCTTTGACCTGCGTATAAAATTCAAACTTTCTTTTCTAATATGAATATTATCATCGACTCCCTAATTATGATCTTAAAGTTTAGTTAAACGAAACAAAATGCGTTATATATGGTAATTTCGACCTGGACAAGCAAAAAATCACGAAAAATGCAGACGTGTGTTTAAATCATTCTATTTGGCCTTGATTCGACCTTTTGGCATGGAAACAGCTGTGTCTTTCTGTTTAAATATAGTTTGTTTTTTTATATTAGTTTAGAATCTTTAAACAAATGAACACGTTCAAAGCTTTGACGACTAAAGGTAGAAAATCGTTATGTAAGTGTTTACCGTTGAGGATTGGATAAAAAATGAATATTACTAAACAGGTAGTTAAGGTGTGTATTGCTTAAAAATAAAGGAAAGGGAACTGATTGGTGACAAAGAGGAAAGAATAGAAAGTTAGGAAATGGAGATGAGTTTTGTGTGGAGAAGAGAAATAGAAAGAAAGACAAAAAAAATGACAAAGGAAGGAAGAAAAAACAACAGAAAATGAAACAAACAAACAAACAAACGAAAGAAAGAAAGAAAGAAAGAAAGAAAGAAAGAAAGAAAGAAAGAAAGAAAAAAAAAAAAAGAAAAAAAACGAGAAAAGAAAGAGAAAAACAAAAGATGAGAAAGAAACAAATAAACAAACAAAAGATGAGAATGACAGAAAGGAAACAACAAAAGAAAGAAACAAACAAAAAAAGATGAGAAAGAAAGAAAGAAAGAAAGAAAGAAAGAAAGAAAGAAACCGAGAAAAGCAAGAGACAAACAAAAGATGAGAAAGAAAGAAACCAGTCGCAAAAGATGAGAAAGACAGAAAGGAAACAAAAGAAACAAAAAAACAAAAGATGAGAAAGAAAGAAAGAAAGAAAGAAAGAAAGAAAGAAAGAATGAAAGAAAGAAAGAAAGATCGAAACAAACAAGCAAAATGAGAAAGAAAACGCCAGAAGAAAGAAACAACAAAACAAAAGAAAGAAAGAAAGAAAGAAAGAAAGAAAGAAAGAAAACAAAAGAAAGGAACAAACAAAAGACGAGAAAGAAAAAAAGAAAGAAAGAAAAAAGAAAGAAAGAAAGAATGAAAGAAAGGTATAAAGGAATAAAGAAAGGTATAAAGGAATAAAGAAAGAAACAAACAAACAAAAGATAAGAAAGAAAGAGGGAAAGAAAGAAATAAAATAACACAAGAAACAAACAAACAAATGATGAGAAAGACAGAAAGGAAGAAAGAAAAAGAAACAAAAAAAAACACAATTCCGCACGACGTCTAGTGATTCGCGCGTGTTGTCAGCTAACACATTAGTTCTAAATTTTTCTCAACCATCCGAAGCTCCTCCGAAATGTAAAAAACTTTCAAACATCCATCTCCAAACGTTCAGAGAAACATGGGCGTTGTCGGTGATCTCCTGAGAACAGGTTTATGTTGATTGATTTTTAAGACAAACCTGCCCATTTTTACACGTACAGATCGATTATAACAGATAAAATTGACCGTAACTCGTTCTCCAGGTGCCAGATCTTGTCAGAGATTAAACAGAACGTTCAATACCTGAAACAGATTTCAAATTTGATAAAGAAGTAGGCTATAAAATCCAACACCAGGTCACTGTTTCTAAGGGTAATCTCGAAAGGGGGTCGTCATTCATATTAACGTTTCAAATAAACTTTATTAAAATTGTTTATTTATATATTATATATGTTGTCATTTTACAAGAGAAAATCGAAACCTGTTAGGTGTGTGGAAATGTTTCCAGCATCCACATTTCTAATAAAATGGTAATGGGGAGAGATAGCCGTTTCCCTACAGTAAACATTCGACATTCATTGATAGAACAGTTAGCATTACTGAACAGATTTTCACTTTTTCTAGTACTGATGAGAGTTTCCTTCCAAACCTTTTGTTTAAAGTCGTGTGGAGAGTTAACAGCTTGATTTTTTTAATCACTATCACTTCAAGCAAGGCATTACAGCTACTAGCACGAAAGGGTGTGGGCGAATTGCGTTTATATTCACATAGACGAGATACTATAGCTCATCCGAACAATTACCATGAAAGTATTTATAAAAGGGGCACAGAGAGGCAATCTTACGGCGGTGAGAAAGTGACTGAGGCCGAGCCGCCAGACCAGAACCTATAACATTGCTGATTCTTCTTTAGATTTTATCAAGGCGCTCCAGGAAAATAACAGGGGCACCGAAAATATATATGGCAGCAATATTCTAAGCATGGACGAATGGTAGACTTATAGATATGTAAGATAGATTCCGGAGAGAAAAATTGTCTTGCCAGACACAGTGAACCGACTTTCTTAACAGATGATGTAGCGATGATTTATATTTCAGATACATGTGCTACCTATTTTTTTTGTTGCTGCTGTTGGAAGTCTTCAAATGATTTTTTTTTTTGTTATTTCGTAAAGTTCATTGCTTGTGATTCTGTAGTGCTAGTCTATAGTGCCAAATGAGGGATAGTCTTCTTTAGGACCTAAATGAGTCATTCACTTGAAACCATTACACTGATCATGAACAGAGAAATATTAACAAAATATAAGGAAATGATGGTTGGTAAAGTTTACTTTGATGCTTGTCTTTAGCATGAAGACACCATCTTGATCATATCACTATCTTTCCATCTAGTTTAACATTTACGATTTTACATTAGGGTCCATTCACTGAATATTGTTGTCACATTTGGTCTGGTACTTCTGCTGTTTTAGGTATTCTTCATGAAATCTAAAGAAGAATCTGCAATGCTATCGGCCCTGACCTGGCATTGCGGTTTCAGTTACTTTCCCACGGCCGCAACGTAGCTTCGCTGTGCCTTTTCTATAAATATTTTTCATGCTAATTATTCTGATGATCTTTTCGCGCTCGTGCTTCGACTTTACGAATTTAAGCGCAGTACGAGATTGGAAGTTAGGTCTCCTAATGTTATTGCTGAAATTGCTAGTTATAAGTGCAGTTTCTATTCTAATAGTGTCTTCTCGCGTACTTCTCACCTGTTGAAATCGCCCTGTCTTTTTGCTTTCCTGTCAACTATGATCTTTAAAAATGTAAATGCAGCTTCTGTCTTTTTAATTCCTATTTTTTACTGTCCTCTCTCAGATTTTTTCACTCTTAGTAACTCCCTGCGCCTTAGTGGCTTTATCGCCTTTCTTGGAGTGAAATAAAGTTAATAATATATAAAAATTATTTTTATTTAATAGTCAAATTAAAATTTTTATGCGACTAATTTACTAGATCTCAGGATTTGTCGATTTATGTAATCTCAATTATCAGTTTTTTAACAAAGAACTGAATGTGTGGCACAGAAATCCGAAGACGCATGCGAATAGCTAAGATGCCTTCAAAAGACTAACCAATGTATTAAGAAACAGGAAAATTGTATTAATCTACTGAACTGATATGTAAAAACAATACTAACATGTAGCGATGAATGGGGACAATTTACTTACAAATAGAGCAGCAACTGAGATTTAGTTCTACAGAAGAATGCTGAGAATGGACGATATATGTGAGAAACGAGGAAGTTTTAAGGGCGATAGAAACGAAAATGGACATTCATATGATAAATTGACGACAAGAGGAGCAGAGGAAACGATTGAGCTAACAAGCAATCTAAACAGTGAAATTAGAGAGGTCAAGCTGCTAATCTAGTTTGGTGTGGTTTATTTTGTTTTACGGCATATCAACATCTAAATGGGTTATTTAATGCCGACATGATTTTATTGAATACTCTATAAAATACAAATATTGTAGTAGCCATCCAATGGGATCCTCACCCAAGCTTTCCAGCCAATGACTATCCAGTGTTACATTTCGATTCTTGATCACGGCAGTGTGTGCACCATAAGCTGGGAAAGGGCCTGTTGCATGCTCACATTTAACAAAATCTCCTCGTCTTTTGTGGCTTTATTTAACACTGTTCACTGATTGCTCGCCAGTTTCCACTGAGTGAGAGTACACACACCCGGAGCCAGGGATTGAATCACTATGTCACCAAATTCATAAACCAACGCTTTTACCCACTGTCAATGAATTTGGTGATATAGTGGTTGCGAGTTCAGTCCCTGGGTCGGGTAGTGTATATTTGCACTAAGTGGAAACGAGCGTGCAATAACAGAATAGTGCTAAGTAAAATTAAAAACTAGACAAGATATCCCTAGACATAAGCAGTGGAACGAGAACAGTCGACCACTGGGTTCAGTTCGGAATTCCCTGTTGGTTACCCCAGATCGATATAAAACTGAAGAAGGACAAACGGTACCTCAGTCGAAAGGTGCTGATAAAAACGAGTATAATAGGACTTCACAGGACTGGGTTCGTTTACGTTGATGCGACTACGCATGCACACCAACGAGTGATTGTCATCTTTGATAATGGCTTATGTAAGCCGAAAGCTTAGATAGGATTAAAAAATATGTACCAATATTGTGATTTTCTTTCTTCGTTTAATGATAATGTTATTAAGCTTATCACACAATATGAAAAGAATTTACACAAAATAGACAACACTTGTCTATATTATTTAATGAAGCATGCATCAACACACACACACACACACACACACATATATATATATATATATATATATATTACATTCACTTACGTGCTAATACCCTTGAGAAAGGTATTAAACCTCTTCTTCTCCCTCCAGCTATGGGTGAATAGCATGACAGACCGGGTTCTATAGCCTTGAATGGCAACTGGTCAAGAAGAAGGACAACTCTGAATTCAAAACCTGTGGAGGGTCGTTTGGAGACCTTGTGGCCCATAGAGCACCAGATCTCTGTATTAAGCCCTTCAAAAAGTGTGGTTGGTTCTGCTCAAAGCTTTCACCACTATAAACAAATCATATGTGCTGCTGTCTGGCTGTCGGTTCCTAGTAAATGAGCTGCTTGACCTTCATACATCGAATACGTCGACAAAGTCCATATATATATATATATATATATATATATATATATATATATATATATATATATATATATGTATTTATAGGTCAATTCATGTCTCTTACAGTTGGTTAAAATAACTAACTATAGATAAGTCAATAAAAACAAAAGTTGCCTTAAATTTAGATTCTATACAACAATCACGACTTTTCTTGATCTTTTTAGAAGGAAGATAAATTAGTTGTGTACTAATATTTGGTGCCGTTCCTTCCTTCAATCTTTCTTGGGTTCGGTTTATTTTATTTTCTCTTTTCTTTGACAACTAATTATGTAAATTTGGCTTTCTTGAAGATGTGCTAATTAAGCATGTGATCTACGTGCATGATTCTTGTAAAATATGTTATCTACCTTAAAGAAAATTATCTACATGAGTAACTTCATTTAAATAATACCTAAGTAGTGAATGAACACTTCCGGGGGAATAAACCAGACTTATGCCCCAAAATTATTTATTGCATTTCTGTATATGTTCATAGACACTGATAACTGATAGATAAAATAATAATTTTCTGTAGTTTTTTATCATATGTTATTATTTGTTTAGTATATTATTAACGCACATTAAATAATGACTACCGTAATTCCCCATGTATAATACGCATTTTTTTGTAAAAAAATAATATGCCAAATTAGGGATGCGTGTTATGCACAGCTACAGAAAACTCTTTAAAATATTGCCGTTTCATAGGTCGATTTCACTTGCAAATGACTACTCGCCACAAACATTCGACAATTTGACACTAACATTCGGCGATTGCGACCCCATAAGGATGTCAAATACAATCATATGTATCTAACAATACTTACAAATATAAAATAAAATAAAAATTATCATAAAACTAAATTAGAATAATATTATTTTATGTTTAAAACCATTTTTTAAATAAGAACGCTGGCCGTAATGAAATTGGAGAGGTACAATTTATAGGGTTTGATTACCAAGCAAGGGGTGCGTATTATGCGTGAGTAGTAGTATTTTCCCACAATTCCAACACAATTTTAGGGGTGCGTATTATGGATGAAGGTGTATTATACATGGGGAATTACAGTACTTACTTTTCACGTCTTATTCCGTATATATCTATTTTTAATACATATTTTAATGTAGACAATTTTCTCAACTCATAGATCACGTACTTAATTGATGCGCTGTTCTGGTAGCTCAGACCCGAAAGGTAGATTGCATACTTAAGTAGCACCAATATGCAAATATTAAAATATACTTCTTTCTTTATAATTCGCGAACAAAAATAACTAAATTTCTAAACCAATCTCTGAGGAAATTCAGAATAGATTGCAAAATGAGCACTCTACCGTATACATGATATGAAAATTATCACAGTGTAAAATTTATTCAAAATTCTGGTATTATGCCTTTCTACTATTATTATTCCTATGTGTATCCAGTGTAGAAAAAAGATGCCTTTCAAAAGCTTAACAAAGTATTAATAAACAGGAAAATTTTGTTCGAAACAAAGAAAAGGTTGCGTAACTGCTA